TGCCCATGATTCTTAGGTTTGGTCTTTTGATGGAGTGTGAGTTCTTGCATTTTCTTTCACAGGTCTTGAGTTGTTTAATTAATAGTTCTTCGGTTTTTCCTTTAATTACCATTTCATCTTCAAGTTCTGAGATTCTGTGTTCTGTTTGTTCTGTTCTGCTGGATTGGCCTTCTGTTTTGTTTTGCAATTCTGTTTCATTCTTTTTTTCTGAGGTTTTCCATATCCTGAGTGGTTTCCTCTTTAATGTTGTCTATTTTTGTCCTGAGCTCATTTATCCGTTTATTCATCGTGTTCTCTGTTTCACTTTGGTGTTTATACAGTGCTTCTATGGTTTCTTTTATTTCTTCTTGTGCTTTTTCAAATTCTCTATTTTTTTTGTCTTGGAATTTCTTGAGTGTCTCCTGTACATTTTGGTTGACCCTATCCAGTATCATCTCTATAAAATTCTCATTGAGTACCTGTAGTATTTCTTTTTAGATTGTTCTTGTGGGCTTCATTGGGTTCTTTGGCATAGTTTATCTTCATTTTGTTGGAGTCTGAATCTGAGTATCTGTTTTCTTCATTTCCCTCTGGTTCTTGCACTAATTTTTTGCTGTGGGGAAACTGGTTTCCCTGTTTTTTCTGTCTTCCCGTCATTGCCCTTGTTGTTGTTCTTGTCCCTGTACTGTGTGCAATTAAGTATTTTCTAGCTTGTAATAATAACAATGGTGATATTTAGAATGGAAGAGTGAGAGGAGATGGAAAGCAAAGAAGTTAAAGAAAAAGGGAAAAACAAATAAACAAACAAGTAGGAAAAAACAAAACAAACAAACAAAGTTTCAAAGATATAAACAGGGAGAGATAGTGTACTAATCAACAGTAAGCTGAACAACTATTAGAGAGACAGAGAGAGGTTTGATAATAAAAAAAAAAAAAAAAAAGAAAAAAAAATCTCCAAGTTCAAATGCAATAAAGTTTCAGTCTTAATAATCTTGGTGTTCGTCCCTCAGCCTCCAATCCTGGAGATGATGTCTTAGAAGTAGTTCTGTTGTTGTCTCATCGAAGGGGAAAAAAACTAAAACAAAACAAAACAACACACACACACACATACAAAAACCCCACAAAGTGTCCCAAGATCAAATGCAATACAGTTTCAGTAAGTTTTTCAGCATGCAGGTGTAGTTTGGTTGTTTTCTCATCAAAGGTAGGGAAAGAGAAAAAAAAGTCTGGAGACAGGTCTGTGAGTGGCTAACTGAGACTGTGGCTTGCCTGCCCGCTGCTGTCAGCCTGCCGTTGCTGGTGGCATTATTTATGCAGATCTCAGGGGTGAGCTTAGCACTCACCTGGCCCCGCAGGCTTTGTTTACTCAGAGTTCTCCTGTTCGTGAGCCCTGCTACAAGCTTTCCCCTTTCCAGGTGCACTGGGGGAGGTGACACTTTCTCAGGCCTGCATGTGTGTTTACAGTTCACGTGGGAAGTGGGTCTTCCCCCCTCTCCTGTGGAGTTTTCTTCCCACCGCCACTTTTACAAGCTTTCCTGCTTCTGGTTGCTGGGTGTGTGCCACCGTTCCTGCCTTCTCCGGCCCTGCCTTCAGTGCTCAGGGCACCCCGCCCTCTTTGCTACTTGTCTTTTTTGTTGTTATTGCTTATTATTCAGGTTTTTTTTTTCTTTTTTCCCTGGGTGGGGGTCAGTCTGTCCAAGGGGCTATGCTGATCTAGCCCAGGGTTGTCTGTGGGAGTACCACGTACCGCTTTGCTCACCTTGTGGTCCATGTCTTCCCAAGCCGTCTGGGCGCTGGTGTCTGGAAGCGCAGGAGCCCTCCTGGTTTCTCCGTTTAACGTGAAGCGGGAATGTTACATGCGGGCTGGAGGTGTGGAGGAGTCAAAGTTTTGCCTCTTCTCGGTGGCTTTTCCTGTAAGGTGTATCTCCAGCGTCTCTCCAAGATTTTACTTTAGGAGGCACGCTTTCTGCTTCCTCCCTCTAGCCGCCATCTTGGAATCTCTCCAAGAGTAGTTTTTGAAAGAACTGACTGCCTGTTGAAATGATACTATTTGGGATATATTGGGTCAAATAAAAATATTTTAAAATCAATTTCACCTATTTATTTTATCTTATTTTTTTAGCAGTACTGGGCCCTTCATGTCAGGGCCTCACACTTATCAGGCAGGAGTCTGCCCCAGATATTATTTTAATCTTTAAAAAGATATGACCACTAGAATAATTAAAATTACATATGAGGCTTTCATTGTGTTTCTGAAACCAGAGTTTTGGACCTAAGGCCCAAAGTCCTGGGATTCCACGTATCAGGTCCAGCCACTCACCCTGTACACCAAATAAAGACACGGTGAAGGGCAGAGAAAGAAGGACATGCCATGGGAAGAGGCAAAGTCAGCACTCAGCTCATCCTTAGACATCTTTGGGGTACAGACTGAGCTTCTAGCTTTACACAGACAAGGGACTGGGGCGGGGGAAAAGGTATGCATAAACATCCCAGTCACAGGTGTGGCCTGGCTGGTCATTACCTCAGTCCTTCTTCAAGGGTTGCAGAGAGTTGTTATGTCATATGGCCTGGTTCATTACCTCAGTCCTATTTCTGCAAGGTTCTGGAGAAGTTATCGCTGTCAGGACTTGAGGGGAGCCATCTGGTTCCCTAGACAAGACCACTCCTGCTCCGGGATGCAGCCTCATCACTATATGTAATTGTCCTCATTTGGAAGGTGGTCTGTCCTGCAAGCTTCCACTGTTCCTGAGGGGTAGTTTCAGTCCCATGTCATAAAGATGTTATCGATCATCCCTGTCCTTCCTTGATTCCAAGGTGGCTTCAGGAGAGAGTGGCTCAGAGCAAAGGACAACAGGTACAAAATGGAGACAGTGATCCCAAGCTTTTCACCTGGCTTCAGTTAATTCGTGGGCCGAAGTAATGAGTCAGTGCTTTTCAGCAAAAGCAGTTTGAGCGCCTCTTACATTTCTATTTTCTGAAGTCCTGACACCTTTGAACTGTGGCCGCCCTGCTTGGCATTGCCTCTTCTGGTTGAGCCTGATGCCTGGGCATAGTACATAGGCACTTGGTGGAGAGTGGACTTCACCTCCCACCAGCGTCCATAGCAAGAAGGTACACAAAGAATCAAACATGGCAAAGGATGGAAGGGGTCCTGACCACCAGGTGGCGCCAGACTCCAGGTTGTGCTATTTTCTCAGCCCAGATGGTCCTGGGAGATCAAGATGCTTGTCCAGCCTCACTCAGCACCTGCCTTTAACTTCTGGGACTCTCTGTCCCCCAGTGGTTGGACTCCATTTGTGTGAGTGAGGTCAGTGACTGGTCCCTGAAAGTGGGAACTTCTCCCTGGACAGATGGGCAACTAAGGCCCAGAAAAGGCAGTGGTGTGCCCAAGTCACACAGCCCTTTTGGTGGCAGAGGCAGGTCTTTTGTGTTTCATCCTGTAGGTCTGTTGTGCTGCCTTTCATTGCGGTATTGGAGATTGAATCCAGTGCCTCACAAATGCCAGGTAAGCGTGTCAGAGTCTCGATAACTTTGCTGGGGGCTGGCCTTGAATTTGGGATCCTCCTGCCTCTATCTCTTGAATAGCTGGGATTATAGCTGTGTACTGCCATGCCTGGCTCTGTCCTATTACCTTACTGCCTTTGTCCTGTGAGCTTGGTGTTGGTTCCTTGTAATGATTATTAGTAAATAATCACTGAGCGTATGTCAGCACTGGTCTGGGAGCAGGAAGGACACTGGTCCATCCTATGAGAGATCTAGCAGGAGCAGCAAGCATGTGTGGATGTACGTGTGCTCACTCCCCCGTGTATAAGAAGAACACAGCTCAAGTGTTTAAAACCACCTGGGGGGCAGGTGCTACAGTTGTTCTGCTCTACCTATCAGGTGATTCAATTCTCCATCTCTAGAACCAGTCTGCCTGGATTTAAATCCTAGCCCTGCCACTTACTGGCTGGGACAAATCATCGTGAGACTCCGTTTTCTCATCTGTGAAATGGGACCTACCTCCCAGGTTGCTGTGAGCTTTGAATAAGATAGACATATGCAGGGCCAGGCATGGAGAAAGTGCTCGATGCATCTTGCCTGTGGGTTGAGAGGTCATTACCCATGGCCTCTGGTGAACAGTGTTCCAGCAAGGCTTCAGCTAATTGCCAGGGAGGAAATGACACCCATCGCTTGTGTGGGTCCCCTGGATCCCATGTGGGGACCCGAACTCAGCAGGAAAGAGGGTAGAGAGGGGAGGGATGGAAAACAGAGGTTGGGGGTCAACACGGGGTCAATGTCATTCAGTTTGCTGCGGTGGGCAACAGGACCTCGATGCCTTTGGAGGTCTCTGGGAGACTGTGGAGCACAGGGTGCAGGAGCTGGGGTGTTTATTCTCCAGGGTCCAGTGGAATTACTGTCCTGCGATCCTGGGCTACTGCCTGCGGGCAGAGAAAACCCCATGCAGAGACACGGACGCTGCTGGGAGCCGGCTGGGATGCACAGGAGAGAAGGTGACTCCTAGGCAAGGTGAGAAGGAAGGCTTCACAGAAGAGGTGGCCTTTGATGCACCTTTGAAGGACGGGTAGGAATTTGACAGGCAGAAGTACAGGAGGACATGCCTGGCTGGAGGCAGAGCACAGCCAAGGAGGGGATGTGGGGTGATGGTGGGGGTATTTTGGGAGCAAGGGGTCTGGGACTGAGCCATGGAAGCCTTAGTGCAGTGTGGAAGCCTTAGTGCAGCCATGGAAGCCTTAGACAGTGTGGACAGGAGGGAGAAGCCATGGAAGGGAGGACCCTGGCTACAGGTAAGGGTGTGGGAGGAATTCTGAGAGCAGGCAGGAGGCTGTGCTCCAGGTGACAGGTGATGAGGGCCAGATGGGACAGAGGCAGGCAGAGTGGAGGGTATGAACTTTCTGGGACAGGTCATGGAGATTTTTGAGTGTGGTCTTTCTGCCCTTCCTCTGGGCAGAAGTCTCAGAGGGCAGGTGCCACAGGCCCATCTTCCAGCAGGGGCGCCACTGATACCACAAACGGGGCCCAGTCATTTCCTGCTCAAAGAAGGAAGAAAGGGCACTTCGTGAACGAGTTAATGGCAGAGACATGGTAGGTCCTGGAAACGGTAGTGGCTGCTGTTAGTTTTGGCTAGCAGGGTCTGAAACAGGCGTTACCCACGTGGCTGAAACCCACCTGGCCTCCCTGGAGAAGAGGTGATGTGTGAACGTGGTAACCCCCTAGGGGAGCTCAAGTCACTGGGAAAGGGGGAGTGGGTGACTTGATTTTAAATCTCACAGCCGTTGTTTCATGAATGTCCGCGTGTGGCTCTGGGGCCCTGGAGGCGCCAGGCTTTTGTGGTGAGAACAAATTGTCCTTTGCTTTTCAAAAGCTAGCTCAATTACAGACTCACGCATTCAGCAATCCTCCTTAAGCTTTGAGTTCGGGTTAAAAACCTGTGCTCATGAACAAATACTGTGACTCCATCTCTTGGGTACCCAGAGTAGTCAAACTTATACAGGTGGAAATGGAATGGTGGCTGCTGAGGGGCTGACGGGAGAGGGGCCGGGGAGCTGCTGTTTGATGGATGGAGTTTTAGTGTTGAAGATGAAGGGCTCAGGAGACTGAGTGTCTGCACAACCGTGTGAGTGTGCCTAACGCTACTCAGCTGAGGTAGCCAGGTGCTGGTGACTCACGCCTGTAATCCTAGCTACTCGGGAGGCAGCAATCAGGAGGATCTCGGTTCAAGGCCAGCCCAGGCAAACAGTTTGTGAGATGCTATGTTGAAAATACCAAACATGAAAAAGGGCTGGTGGAGTGGCTGAAACCTGCCTAGCAAGCACAAGGCCCTGAGTTCAACCCCCGATGCTGCCAAAAACAAAAAACAAACAAAAAATGGTTAAGATAGCAAGTTTTATGTATATGAATTTTAGCACAATGAGAAATTTTAACAAGTATTTAGAATTTTTATTTTTTATTTCTTTCCTTTTTTTGAGATGGGATCTCACTATGTTGGTCAGGCTGGTCCCAACCAACCTCTTGAGCTTGTCATCCTCTTGCCTCAGCTTCCTGATAGTTGGGACTATAGGCGCATACCACTTGACCAAGCTAGAAATTAAACAACAAAAAAAAAACGAATGCAGCAACTTCAAAGTCATTTGAAAAATGATTAAAATCATAAAAGTGAATGTTTGGCTCCACTTATAATCTTGGTTAATTAAATGTGTTCAAATGTGTTAATGTAAAATATGACTGCATTTGTAAATTTAATGTCTTTCTTTTTTCTTTGGTGTTTCTGGGATTTGAACTCAGGTCCTCAAGCTTGCAAAGCAGGTGCTCTACCACTTGAGCCACTCAGCCAACTATAAATTTAATGTATTTCTTTTTTAAATACTTCAGTTGTCTTAGCAAAACTTTCTCAGGGACTTAAATATTTCTTAGAAATCTAATAACTTGGGTTATAAATAATGAGAATTTCAATTCTCATTACTATTTTAGTGCTGTTGGCAAATTTAGATTCTGTGAAAGTGACTGGTACAAAATGGAGTCATTTATGTCAAACCCTAACAAAATAGAATCAGGAGAGCACAAAGAGGGGGCACTCACACATGGATGCCAGTGAGAGGAATTATCACAAGAAATTTCTGCGTGTCCTATACGTTTACCTGTTAACAGACCCCATTGCAAGAATTATATACCAGTGGAAACATTTAAAAAAGAGCCCATTGCAAGAAAATCCTTAAAACTCTAGTGCTTCAGGTAAGCAAGGGCACAAGGGCACCTGCCTGGCAATGCCAGCCTTTCCAATGAGCCAACCCTGCAGCCAGCTCAGGGTTTTTTGCTGCAGAACATCTTGTGTGGTCTTCTCTGTTTTTAAGCCTCTCTTTTGCCCCAAGCCCCTCGTTGTTCCCAACTTCATTGGCTCTGCAGAACCTGTCTCTGAGTTGCTTTTTCAGTTCACAATTTCAATAAAAATAAAATCACAAATCTATGCTGGGTGTGGTGATCCATGCCTGTAATTCCAGCTCTCTGGAGGCTGAGGCAGGAGGATTGTGAATTTGAGACCAGTTATAGTGTGACCCTGTCTCAGTCCTCTCCCCCACCCCCTAAAAAAATCATAAGTCTAAATCAACCAGTGGTTTGTTTGTACATTTTAAATGAAAACCTCAAGGGCTGGGGGTAGAACTCAGTGGTACGGTGCTTGCTTAGCATCTGTGAGGACCTGGGTTCCATCCCAGGACCACAAAACAAAACAAAATGAAACAAAACCAAAACCCAAAACCAAAACAAACAAAAAAGTACTCTGTAACAGTGATCTGTTATTCCCACAGACAACATTCTCTTAAATATTACAAATAGTTACAATTCAACACCCGAACTTACTATTTCTTAACACAAATGTATGTAACTCTATATATCGATTCCCTTACAAATGGGGGTCCACGAGGGCAATGATGTTGGGGGTTACCATTCCAAGCCATTTGGGGTTTTTTGGGGGGCAGTATTCGTGTTTGCACTTGCTAGGACTTTGCACTTGCTAGGCAGGTGCTCTCACTCCTGCAGCCCTTTTTGCTCTGGTTATTTTGGAGATAGAGTCTGGATTTTTGTGCAGGTCAGCCAGGACCATCACTCTATGCTAAGCTTCCCTCTGTTGCTGGGATGACAGACATGTGGCACGAAGCCCAGCTTTTTTCTATTGAGGTGGAGTTTTGCAAACTGTTTTGCCTGGGCTGGCCTGGAACTGTGATCCTCCTGATCTCAGCCTCCTGCATAACTTGTGACAACAGGCATGCACCACCACGCCCAGCCATTGGTGGAGATGGGGTCTCATGAACTATTTGCCTGGGCTGGCTCTCAAACTGAGATCTTCCTGATCTCTGCCTCTCAAATAGCTAGGATTACAGGTGTGAGCCACTGGTGCCCGGCCCCAAGCCATTTTTAAGATTCTTTGGTGCCCACAGAAACTTCAGAATTGGACATAGGTTTTGCCTAAGAGCTTGATGGAACATGAGTCCTGATTGTAGTCATTTAAACAGGATTTCTCATACCTACAAAGGGGTGGTCACAAAGCCTGTGACCCCTGGGTCCAAACTGTGAATTCATTCCTGATTTCTGAAGGCTAGGGGACCACCTCCCCTCCGCACCCCCATCACTCTCTTGCCTGACTTCTTTTTCTCAGACTATTTGTCACCAGCTGGAAGTCTATCACACAGGCAAATAAAAGCACAAGACACCCAGTCATGCTTGAATTGCAGATAAACAACTAATTTTCCCAGGCCCCAAATATTGTATGGGACATGAAAAGATTATTCATTGTTTATCTAAAGTTCACGTTTCACTGAGTACCCGTGGCTTGTCTGGTGACTTTACTTATCCGTGTCAATGACCGCCTGCCTGCCCTGCATCCTCCCTCGCCCACTGTCCTGTAAGCCCGCGGGGGCTCAGTCTGTCTCTGACTTGTTCACGGTTATAATCTCCCTGTTGTTGGGGTTCAAAGCATGCTACCTCAAAATACTGACTACCTTAAAACGAAGAGATGTGAGTGACAGCAGAAGGACTCTCCTGCTGTCCCCTAAAGTGTGTCATGACTCTCACGGGAGGGGTGCCCCCACACCCTATCCTTAGCTCTGAAGATAGGACAGGAAAGGACACTCAGCAAACAGGCCTCGCTAATTGTCCCCAGCTCACTCCCTCAGCACCTGCTCTTTTGTCTGATCACTTCCCAGTGACTTTCCACACCATCAAACCTGGCGGCATGAAAATGGTCTTTCCCTTCCAAAGGCTCCATGTCCTGCAAGACTTTGTGAAACACATTTGCACGCTTTTCCCTCTTCTAGCACAGAGGCCCTGGTTGAGATCCTAAAAGGGTAAAAGGAAAGTTTTTTCCTTGTCGGCAGAGTTACAGATGAGACAGCTGAGGTTCGGAGAGGGGAGGTACCCTGCCCAAGGACGCACAGCCAGCAAGCAGCAGTGCTGGAATTCTGACCCAGATTCACCTGGCTCTTCTGTTACACTTTCAGCCTTGATTCTGGGCTTTGGTGTGGACCAAACTAGCCTATGTGAGGTGTTTGTTTAGCACAGCACCAGGAAAACAGTGGGTGCTCAATAAGTGCATAGTTCTTTCCTTCCTTCCTTTTTTTTTTTTTTGGCTTTCTTTCAAAGTTAAGATCTTAACCCCTCAAGCCTAGATGTTTGAACCCCCAGTCCTGCCCCTGCCCTTCCCTCTCGGTCCCTCCAATGCTGGGAGAAATCACAGCTGATCTCATGCCATACTTGACCCTCATCTTTCCGTCCTCATCTAAGAGGTTCCTGGCAGAAACAACCTATCCTCTTTCCTGGAGTCTGGGGTCCTCCGATGGGCAGCCCCTTCCTCCTGCATGCCTCTTCCTGGGCTTGCGTTCAGCCCCTCCTTGCACTGGTTCTGCCTTTGAGCATGAGCTGCAGTGCTGAGGAGCTGGAGTTGCCCCTGAGGGCTTTAGCTCATGTTGACGGAGCCCTCTTCCAAGCCAGGCTCTGAGCCAAACGTGCTCCGTGTTACCTCACTTCACTCCACCGCAGCCCTTCCAGGGGCATTTTTATTCCATTCACTTGGCAGATTGAGGCTCTGTGATGTGAAGTGGTTTTGTCACCAAAATTAGCAAGGTGGGGGTGGTGGTGGTGGTGGTGGTGGGGGAGTAGGGAAATGCTCAAGAGACCCCATCTCAATGAGCGTGGTGGTGCTCACTGTCATCCCTGCAATTGCAGGAAGCATAAAAAACTCCAATCATGGGCCATGCCAGCCTGGGCAGAAAGCCCAGAATAACCAAAATGACCAGAGCAAAGTGGTTTGGAGGTGTGGCTCAAGAGTGCGCTGATTCTCTAGCAAGTGTGATCTCCTGAGTTCACACCCCAGTACTGTCAAAAAAACTCACCTTAGGATGAGTGCTCCCTTTGTTCTGGGCACATGGGGCAGTCAGTTATTCACTGTTGACATTATCAATTGCACCCAGAGATATCAAGGCTGGCGAGTGTACTAAATTCTGGTCATTGTGACATAGATGTCCTTTTCCTTGCACGTCCCTTTAAACAAAGGGTGGGTTTTATCAGATGCTCATTTTAAGCCAGGTGTCCTTCCTTAAGACATTTTGTTTTTCTTCTTTGCAAACACTTCTGTGATCAAAGTAGTCTTTTCATCAGTATCTCCACCCCCTACTCACAGAGTAAATGTCTTTCTTTAAGTTTTCTTGCTCTGTTCTCAGAGCATGTGGGCAAGGGCAGAGGGAGACACCTGCATTTTGTTTCCAGCTATGTGTTGAGGCTCAGTGAGGAAGTGTGAAGCCTAAAGCGAAGAAAGCAGTGCCCGTACCTTTCAGTGTGTCAGTGAGTACTCACCGATGCAAAGCCTATCTCTGAATTTCTGGCTCCTGCTTCTCGTGCCTCATTGTCCGTGATCCATCTTGCCTCCGTCTGTAGGCGTGAGGTGGACTTGTGTGTAGAAGGGCTGTGACCACTGCTGAGGGGAATGAAGGGGTGCATCCCAGTGGAGGTGGCATTAGGGAGACCTTTGACAAGTGACTAGTGTGCCAGCAAGAGAAGGAGGGAGAGGAGGAGAGAAAGGAGAACCAGCCGGGTAGAGGAGACCTTGTGAGCAAGTCTTGATGAATGGAGAGTGAGAAGGGAGGCAGGGCCAGGTGCAGGTACCTCAGCACCAGCTGGGGACTGGAGGACAAGGCCTCAAGAGCCAGAAAGCTTGTGTGTGGGCCCCTGTGGGGGTTGGGAAGGGCTTCTTGCCCCAGGTAAGAAGTGTATCCCTGACCACTCAAAGGTCCCTTCTATCCAGTGCCCTGGCACAATCCATTATGATAAGAACCTGAGACTCAGTACCCAGCAAACAATCCCACCATTTTAACATTTCAGTGATATTAGTTATTTTGGGGGCAGTACTGGGGTTTGAACTCAGGGTCTTGTGTTTGCTAGGCAAGCCACTTGAGCCACTCTACCAGTCCTATGGCTTTTATTTTTAACAGTTTAGCATCCTAAGATCCCCTTATTATAACATTAGAAGAGTCTAAGTTCCTGTATTTCTTTTATGAAAACCTATTTCTCCTGAAAACCTTCGTAGAGTTTAAAACCTCGTAATCCTATAATTTGAAGATTCTATGATTAATCTCAGGAAGGTGGCGAGTATGTGGGTGGGGAAGGCGGGGCCAGGTCTCAATGCATATGCGTGAGCCCTCCCCACCCCACCCGTGTCAACTTTCCAAGGGCTGGGTACAGAAGAGACATCAGGAAATGGTTAGGGAGTGACTGGTTGTTTGGACAAGAAAGGTCAGGACTGGCTTAGAGCTGGGTGGGGGCCACGGTGCTCTGGGCCAGTGCAGGGCTCGAGTTGGCAAAATAAGGGGAAATGGTCAAGTGGGCCTGAGGGAAACCCACAGGCAGGTGCAGGTGAAGGTCGAGTCTTTCAGTTTGCATTGGAGTTGGGGAGCTAGGTGGGACTTGGAAGGCTGCCCCATGGCAGTGATAAATGAGGTACCCAGCATAGTTACTTACATTCATGGAGGTAGCAGGAGGCTGGGGAGAAGGGGGAGGGGGTTTCTTGGAGAGTGAGTTCAGATTTTCAGTTCTGCAAGATTAAAAGAGGTCTAAGGATGGGTGGTGGTGCTAGTTGAAAACCACATGAATGCACCTTATAACAAACACTGAACTGTACTCATAAAAATAGGGCAATTTTTAGTTATATGAATTTTCCTACAATTTAAAAAGTTATAACATTCATTGTTCTTGTCTTGTCATGATAGGTACGCACTGGAAATAAAAAACTAAACACGGCCCTCACAGGGACGGGCACACTGTCCACTTGTAGCTGCGCCCTATGGCTTGTAGTGTGCTGAGCAACCGTGAGTCAAAGAAATGACTGCTGTGACCACTGTGAGTCCAGTTGATACTACTGAGCTGGGCCATTGTAGTGAGAAAGAGGCTGTGGCCAAATGTAACCAATGGGAGTGGGAGATGTCAAGGAACCTCCAAGGGGACAAAGGACAGATACTCTCGGGCCTTGACTCATAACCTGCTGCCGACTGGAAGTCCAGGTGGACCACAGGACCGGGTGCACCATAATGACCCTGGTGGCACCATCCTGTCTTCAAAGACAAACTGATCTTTGTCTTACACAAGGAAGGAACATCTTGAAAAATCCACACACGACCAGTGGAAAAGTACCAGATCCTAACTCAACCCAGTACCCCATAGAAGCTTGCGCCTTCCTTGTTCAGGGGCAGCCAGGCTTCTCTCCCAATCAGTGCCCTCCTCCTCCTCCTGTAGGTGAAGGCCCTGTTAAAGCTTCCCGGTTGTTTCCTTTCTACCATCTCTGTCAGAAGTTCCTGTCTCTGGTATCATGTGGCTATGTCTCAATAAAACTTTATTTGCGGACACTGAAACTGAGCTTCCTTTAACTCTCATGGGTCACTGAGAAGTATTTTTTTGCTTTCTCCTCCAGTCACTCATAAACATCTAAACCATCGCAAGTTCATGAGTGGTGGCTTGCCAACCCCTATCCTTTCTCCATCGTTGACTAATGGACTTCTTGGAGAACTGGCTATTTGGCTATCTGACTTTGGCCCGTTTGCTCTGTGTAAGTTGTTCTGCTCCTCTGGGGGGTGGGGAGGGTGGCGAGGGGCAGGGGCGGTGGGGGGAGATTCCAGCTACCTGGGAAGCCACTATGCCTTGACATTTCTCTCAGTGTGACAACTCTCAGCCAGGTAAGCAACCTGAGTGAGGAACTTAGCGGACCAGAGGCAGGATAGGGATTGTGGCTACTCTTCTTGGAGCTGTCCCTCTGCCAGCTCTATTGGATCATTGGGGCGGAATCTCCCCTGCCAAAGGTGCCCTCCACTAGGACTGTAACGTTGGGGTCTTAGCTCCAGGCCCAACTGCACCAGCTGCAAACTGAAGTCAAAGGAGACGAGCACAGGGTGGTCCTGTGCTTATCGTTCAAGCTGATGACTTCTCATGTGGCACTCAGGCCTGAGGATATAATGGCAGCAGAGCAAGTGGGAGGCCCTGGGTTTGATTCCTAGCAACACACACACACACACACACACACACTCTCACACACACACACACACACAGAACTCAGAGGCCTGCAGGTGTCAGGTGGGTATGAATGTGGGTAACAATGGGACACACTGGAAGGTGCTAGAGGAGACATTCCTAATAAACCCTCCCTATGTCCCTATAGACCATAAGCCATCCTGTATCTGAGAAAAGGGTCTCACTCTGCTGCTGTTTGGTGAAGCCAATAACTCAAGAGACAGAGCAACAGAAGAAGAGAGAATTTTACTCAGTGGCCAAAGAGTGTGTGTGTGTGTGTGTGTGTGTGTGTGTGGGTTCTGCTTGCAAATCAGCTTCTCTACTCCAGGGAGGTGAGGGGTTACAGATATAGGGTAGGAATAATATATATATATATATATATATATATAGTATATATAGAGAGAGAGAGAGAGAGAGAGAGAGAGAGAGAGAGAGAGAGAGAGAGAGAGAGAGAGAGAGAGAGGCAGGCTAACGGGAGGAGTAGTCATGTCTCTTCTGGGAATAGGCAGAGATCTTCCTGGAACTCAGGTGCCACTCTTCTTGCTCCTTTTGTGATGACTCATTTCCAGTCGTGGCTGTTGGTAGCATCTTTAGTCTTGAAGGGGGAAGACAGACTAGGCAAGTCTAGGTCAAGTGAATCCTATATTATAGCTCTGGATAAAACATTTTTGGTTGACCACCCTGTCCACGTGCAGAGCTGAGCAGACTCTGACCCAAAAGGAGATGCCACAATGTGAAGACAGATGTCGACCACCTTCCTCCTGGTCCACTCACTCATGGGGCGTCTGCAGCCCAAGTGAAGAGTCAATGTTTTCAGCAAAAGCTTTCAGGTCCCTGAAAAGTAATGCAGGCAACTGTTATCATAACCACACTGCAGAGGTGTTGTCTACAGCAAAGCTAGTGGGAGATAGACCATGTGTTTCCCAGCCCAGTGACCTCCAAAATTAGTGATTTTTACATCAAACAGGAGCAAGTGAATCGAGAAGGTTGATTAAGCTTCCCTTCGTAACAATACCATCTTCCAAACTATGACACATTTCCCAACTTTCCAACTTTTGTCACATACAAGTTACCTGAATATTCTTTTGTTTTTATGTTATCTTACTTTTTAGATTTGGGTCAAGAAGGAAAGTTTAGGTCACTGCCATAAATGGAAAACCACCATCACTCACCCTAACTAGATTTCTAGTAAAGTACACAGAGGGAAAGTAAGACGTTTTCAATTAAAATCATTAGGCTGGCAGAGGTTCTGAGAGTATGAGGTCAGATCTTTCTTCATGAGAGAAGGAAAATGGGAAGTGTTAAAGAGAAGACTAGAACCAAGCCCAGCCTTCCTCCTTGAGGGAGGCATAGGAGGGAGACAGGACTGAAAGAGGAATAGCTTGATCCACAGGAACCAGTGCTATTTAATGCTAGCTTCCCATCACCACCCATAAGCCTCTGGGGCACCACTAGTACCCCACAACTGGAGCAATGCAGTAAGACATTGGCCTGCCTTCAGTTCGTCACTTACCTGTGGGTTACATTACTCTGAAGGTATTCTCAGAGCCAGATGCTCAATAGTAAATGATTTTCTTGGCTCCTTCCCCAGGATCACTGGTTGCATGGATGGCAGAGGACGGTTGGATCCTAGGAGAAGCACTGTAGGAGGGAATCCTGGGTAGCAAAGTCTGGGGACAGGGCCAGGAAGGAAGGGGAATCCTGAGTTCAGAGCGTCTTCTGCTTTTACAGCAAGGCTGCTCTTTGTCCTGGGGGTAGACATGGCTACTCCTCAGGGTTGCTTGCTGAAAACACACTTGGAGGAAAGGCCTGGTGAAGAGGGGTTGGGACTCTGCAGCATTAGTGTAACCACAGGGGACTACCTTGCCCTCAGGGTGGTCTCCACTTCTTCTTCTCCCCATCCATTTGGGGACATACCTACTATGTGCTTGAGTGCTGTGCTGCCATTGTGGGTTCCTGCTGGGAGTTCATCCCACCTGCAAGTCAATATGCTGCTCTGTTCACTGCGTGGCACGCATAGAACACACACTACAGCACGAAACTTTTGCAAAAAGAAAAAGGCTTTATTGCATAGTCAACTGGCCAGGAGGCAGGAGCTAGGAGAAAAAGGAGTTCAAATCTGCCTCTGCAGGGGTTGTTAGTGTGGGGGTGCTACAGAAGGAGGGGAGCTGCTGTAGGATGGAAGACTAGAAGGGGGCCTCAGGGTTCTTTTGTGCATGTGGCTATCGTGCGTCCTCACAGGTCACGATTTCTTTTCAGGTGCATTAATGTTCCGCACAGCTGGGATTTTGAGCTGTTGCCAGTTGGTGGAATCTCAGTAAAATCTGTGGATTAGATGAAACTACCATGTTAATTTCCTGTGCTGCGGTGTAGAATTCCACTCAGTTTAGGAAATGCAAACTCAAGGATTTATGGTAAGGGAGGTCATGACTACAACTCACTAGCAAGTGGTCTGAGTATATATAAAATATATGGAATTTAGAATATGAGTAACAAAACATACATAGAGAGAGACAGGAAGGTAAGAAAAGGGAGAGCTGGAGGAGATGGGGAGAGAGGGATAAAGGAGAGGGAGAAAGGGAAAGAGAGGGAAGAGAAGAGGGAGGGAAAGAGGCGTGAGGAAGAAAGCTAATGGAGCAAGATGTTAGCATCTGGGGGATCCAGTGATGTGAATGAAGGGGGTCTGGAAATTCTTCGTTTTATTCTTGAAGTTTTTCGGTATATGTGAATTTATGTTAATAACAAATCTTTTCCTTGCAGTGGGTGCTGGGGATGGAACCCTGAGCCTTGTGTATGTGAGGCAAACACTCTGCCACTGAGTCCCTCTCCTCCACCCTCCATTCTACCTGTTGACTGACGTTGAGAAACTGCCCTCCAAAAAGGCCGAGGCCACTTGCCCTTCTCAAGGTTGGAGTGGGGGAGGGGATTAGCTTGCTGTGATCTCTGTCTACACCAATGCCAAGCAGTGTACTCTTTGCCATTGTGATAGATGATATACAGATCTGTTACCGGCCTTTCTTTTATTGCAATGGGGTGGAGCACATCTTACTATGCATGCTACCACCTGTACTTCTTCTTTTGTGTAGGTGGAACTGAAGGAGCCAGGGTCAATTGCTGACACTTTCTGCACTGAGAAGCTGAAGGAAGGAAGTGAGGCGCTGGGGTGCCATGCAAGCCAGGCAGACAGTGCTTCCAGGAGGAGGCAGAGCTGACTGCTAGAGCTGCCACGAGGGCCAATGAGGACAGAGAAGTGACCATGGGGTCGGGTGGCTCTGAAGTCACACCCTTAGTGGGTGTTGGGATGGGAGCCTAGTGGGCGAGGGGATGATGGTGGAGGAAAATTCCCTTAAGAAGGCGGGGTCAGAACAGAATACCAAGAGCCTAACCCTAGTGACCTGGGCAAAGCGTGCCAGCCTTGGAACGTAAACAGTGAGAACCCATTAATGGCCACACAGAGCTGACCAATGCTGTGTGCAGCATTGAAGGAGGGACCAACTCCCCTCCTTGGAATGCCAAGGAACTTGGACTCCAGGTCCTTGCCCCGACTTAGCCACTGGCAGGAATGGGTGACTTTTCAGCATATCTCTTCCTGACCTGAGTCACTTGCAAATTGGGGATAATGACATTTGTTTTTGGCTCCTCGGCCTAGGGTGTTTTAAGGTTTTCAGGTGGTGGGTTTGGGGTTGGAGCAATAGGTATACAAATACTAAGTTCCCTCTCTGTACCAGGACATGAAGACCCTAATGGAATCACAGAGTTCCTTCAGAAAGTTTACAGTGCAGAGAGGCAAGTACACAGTCACTATTGTGACCACGAAATGGTGAGAGTATGCACAGAGCACAGGTGTTGTACAGAAGCAGGTGACAATGGAAGGCAAAGACTTGTCAGAGGAGATGGCATTTGGATAGGGTTTAGAGGAATGAGTAGGAGTTCATCAGGCAGATTGCGGGGAGGGCGGTGACAGCAGAGAGAACTGCAAATGCCAAGGGAAACTATTCTTGCCTGGCTGACTCCAACACTTCCATTACGTCTTTCTTTCCCAACTTTGGTCTCAGCCAGTGAAGTCTTGGTGAGAGCTGGTCGATGTGTGATGGCAGAAGTGCTGGCCTCCTTGTGGAGGGTGGGAAACAGCCAGTTAAAAGGCACTGCCTGTGGGGACAGGTCTTTGGGGGGCTTGGTATGTTTTCCTCTGGTGCACCACAGGGAAGAGTCAGCAGGAGGCTCTGCTGGAGGCTTTCTGGCCAGCAGCCTTAGCTACCACAGCAGTAGAGAAATGACAGGCCAGGGACACTGGGGGAATTGGAGTTTACTAGGCTGGATGGCAATGTAGATGGAGCCTGAGCTAAGGAGGACAGAGCGTTTCATCTTCCCTGGCACCTCTGTCCTTGGTGGTTGGAGGCTACTGGGAGCTATGTATTTGAAGCTGAGATGTGTTTCAGGAGGAAAGTGGGCTGTGATGGTTAGCAATGTCTGCTGTGAGTGATGGAAGGGAGAGAAGGGATCTGCATGCTGTCTCTGCCATTTCTGACTTAGTCAAGGGTTCTCAGCCTACAGATGGGGAGCCTGAGGGACAAATGAAGTGTCACATTCCTCATTCTATCTGCACAGTACGGTCTGTGGAACTCAATTGCATAAGACTAATTTCCAAGCCTCCAAATGTCAGTTTGGGGTTTTCTCTATTAAAACTGAACAAGGGGCGGTCTGGTGCATGAACTCTTGCAGGTTTCCTGGAGATTTTCTGCAAAGCAACAGTCCCCAGAGGAGGCTGTGGGGTCAGGGTGACAGCTTTGGCATGACCTGGGACTAGAGGTCGAGGACAGGATGAAGCATCAAAAGGATCAACTCAAAAATGTTAACAGTATCAGCAGAGCTCTCCACAGACATTTAGCTCAATTTAGCTGGAACAAAGCACAGACCTGGGTTCAAATTTTGACACCACCATTTTCCAACTGCAGGACCTTAGCCAAGTGAAGGAGCTCCTTAGATTCCATTCCGCTTCCCCATTATAAAAAAAGATGATGTAATCTCATCCATTTCATTTACATATTAAATGAAATATGTAAGCAAATTGCCAGCTCAGTGCTTGACATGGAAAACTGTGGAGTTTTCATTTCTCTAAAAATAAAAAAGGGGGGAGGGGTGGGCAAGGGACTGCAGTGGATCACATCTGTAATTCCACCTACTCCAGTGGTGCAGGTTGGGAGGATCGCGGTTTGAGACCAACTGGAGCAACAATGCAAGACCCTATCAGAAAAATAACTAAAACAAAAAAAAAAAAAAAAGGGGGGGGGGGCTGTGATTCAAGTTGTAGAGCGTCTGCCTAGCAAGGTGAGGTTCTGAGTTCAAATCTAAGTACCACCCAAAACAAAACCAAACTCTACCCTCACTTCTTAAGCCTTCAGGCCACAGGCTGGGCAAAACTGTCCTTATCTGGGAAGGGCGTTGACAGCAGGTCGGTTTTCCGGGCTTCTGCAAGTAGGTCCATCTCTGCCGGCCCTGGGCAAATTCCTTCCTGTTGGGCCTCAGTTTCCCCATCTGTGTCACGCGAATGGTGCCCAGGACCAGAAGAACCCCGGGGCCCTCCCGCTTTGGCTGGGGTGGGGGTGGGGGTGTGGCAGGACTGGAGGCTACGGACGAGGAGGAGGTGGGGTTGGGGTACGAAGGGGTGGGCCGCGGGGCGTGATCGGGACAAGCGAGGCGCACCTGGCCGGGCGGTGACCTGAGACGCCCTGCTCCATCCGGGAAGAACCAGCAGTGAAGGTTCAGTCCGCATTAGCCAGGATTAGAGCGGGTGGCGGGCGCCGCAGTGACTCAGGCGCGCTTTTGCATCCGGGTCTCCGCCCCGGGCGCCCGAACACCCGAAGGCTCCACCAATCACAGGCCGGCTCCCAGCCGTGCCCGGGAGCGGAAGAAACGTTGGACGTCATTGGCTGGAGGCGCCGCACAAGCCCGGGGCGGGGAGGGGGGGGGTCCCCTCTTCCAGACACCTGCGGGTGGACGGCGGGGTGCAGTCTTAATCCTCGCGGAAACCTGCGCTTCCCAAAGCGAGCTTCTCGTCGGTGGGGCCAGGCATCCTTCAGGTGGCGTGTCAGTCCTGCGCAGAGGTGCAGAGGGCTCTGGGTCCAAACCCTACCTGTGTCACTTGCCTGCTCTATAACTGCTGCACATGAAGCTCTCCAAGCTCCCAGTTTCATTATAGGAGCGAGGCAAAACTTATCATTAAGAATAACAGTGCGGTGCTCACGCCTGTAGTCCTAGCTACTCCAGGGGTGGAGATCGGGAGGATTGAGGTTAGAGACCCACCTAGGCAAAAAGCAAGACCCTGTCCCCCAAATAACTAAAGCAAAAGGACTAGGGGCGCAGCTCAAGTGGTAGAGCGCCTGCCTAGCAAGTGTGAGGCCCTGAATTCAAACCCCAGTACCGCCAAAAAGCTACAACAAAAAACCCCAAAAGAATAATAATGAAGAGCCCTTATTAAGTGACAATTAATGTAGCTCTTGGGAACTACCATCAAGTGTGGTCCTCCCCCAACAGCCCCATACCCCACAGAGCTGGCTGGAAATGCAGCATGGGAGCCTCAGACCTGCAGAGCAGGACTGCACCTTAAGATCCGCAGGGAATCGGCCGCACCTCCCAGGCTGCCCAGCGCGTGTGTGGGCGGTGGAATCCCAGGAATGCCTTCCCTCTCCCACGTGCCAGCTGCCAACATTGGGCAGGTTACTCTGGGGACACGCTTTCCTCCTCTGTGAAATGATAATAATATACTTTAGAGAGCTATCAGGAGAAAGTAACAACTTACAAATGGAAAACTGGACGGTGCTGGGTACAGAGCAGGGACTCTATAAATTTGGCTGCCTGGCAGCTGCCTCCTCTCCTTTCTAGGCACCTCTAAGCCCTAGTGCTGCCCCTCTGGGCGGTGGCTTCCTCCTCCTTCCTCTCCTTAGCTCATTGTAGGGCCAAGCGCCTGAGCAGGGAAAGGACTTACACCTGCCTGTTCCCACTGTGGCTTGCTTGGGCCTTAAGCATAGAGGAGCATTGTTAAGCATTTGTCTTGTGTTATTGGTGACCCCACACTGATGCCTTTCCTGTGTGTATGTGTGTGTGTGTGGGGGGGAAGGGGGTTGAGGTGGGAGGGGCTTAAAGGGAATTTAATGATAACCTTTTATTAAGTACGTACTGTGTTTCTGATTATTCATTTAGTGTTCAATAAATGCCTTTGGGAGTGAGGTAGGCTCTCATTATGTCCGTTTTCCAGATAGGAAAGATGAAGTCATTGGTCCAGGTTCTCTCAGCTGGTATGTGGTCCTCCTGAGATGTGGCAGTTTGACATTGTCTCTTCTTTATTAGATCCCTGGGGACAAAGTGGGAAAGGGAGTCTAACTTGGATGAGGATTGAGTTGGGGGTCAGAGGGTCTCCTTTGATCCCTGAAGAAAATGTCAACCACGGGGAACCAGGAGAGGGAGGAAAGGGAAGGAAAGAAAGAGAAAACAAGAATTCGTACAGATGGAAGTTAACACCCAGCTCCTGGAATTCTCCCCATTTTCTCTGTGGGGTAACTGAGACTCAGAGAAGTTGATTGTCTTTTTGGGAACCCCACAGCTAGAAGCAGCTGGTGCCCAATGGAGATGGAGCTACACCATGGAGTGTTCCTTTCTCTCCCCCAGCGCTCAGGCTGCAAGTAGCATCTGGACCAGGGCCCAGGTGTTTTTGTTTCTCCCAGTCCCTCCCAAGGCTCTCCCTTAATCCTTATTGCTTTGGCCTGGCTCAAGATCAAGGTCCAAAGGAAGGATTGGTGTGGTACTGGGTCATGGCCTCAGGCTTGCATCACTGAGGTGGGGGCCCCTTGGACCATCTGGGAGGAGAAGATCGAGACCTTGCCCTGGGTCTAGACTTGAATCTTGGACTCCATGGTTTCTGGACTGAGCTTTCAAGCTCTACATCTCACAAGAGTCTATGGAGGTTGGCACCATGTCATCTCTTTCTCAGATGAAAATGAGGCTCAGCATCTCTTACCAGTTTCCTGCGCTGCTGTAACAAATGACCATGCGT